AAAGTTTGCTAGGTTTTCCTATAATGGATTAAATTCAGGTTTTTTCCAACAAAGATCAAAACTATGGTTTATTTTTTTCCAAGATAGATTTTGGCATTGTCAACTTTGAAACATAAACAATGCCGCTAATGCCGCTTATTTACGTTTACGTTATCCGTAACGTACATGTTAGGCCGAGTTTTAACAGTAACGATGCAAGTTCGTATGATGGAAAGTTTTTCATAACAGATTACTGTTATTTCCCACCTGTTATGTTCTAATTTAACATATCTCCTCAACAGCCCCGAATAAAATACCGTTAAGTGCTTAACGTTCATGTTACCAATGTTTTTTTATTTGTTTGGAGATCCTATTTTGAATAACGGGGTAATTAATTTACATAATACAAGAAGAGAATCAATTATCAAACTAGGAGGTACCTATAGGTTATAAGATTCATTGCTATTTTATGTTAATCATAATTATGAGGTACAAAACTTTAATATTAATTCACTATTTGAGGACTGAATTGGACACTCAAAGAAGGCATACCAGAGGTCAATTGAAACTCCTGATAAGGTTTTATTACTAAATATACTAGACTTCCAAAAGTTCTAAAAGAATCGGTGCAGTTTATAATTGCAAAAATAAGGCAATATTCCTCAAAGACCAAGGATTTCATCCATTCCAGTTGAACTGAAGGTCTATAAATTCTAAAAGTTTATTCTGAATTCTTAGTAGGTAGTTGGAGCTGTTTTTCATTTTATATAAGGCAATGGTTCTAGTAGTGCTTTTATTTTCGTGTACAAATGATGTCCACTCATCAGAGGGGTTTTCTTGCGTCTCGAAGTTTTGAAAAATTTTTCAAAACTAGTTTGAAACAGTTTCCCAATGACCTCATAACTTCTCGGCGCGAGAAAATGGTTCAAAAATATGGATTGGATTGTATTTCGGAACAGTTTGAACCAATTTTGTGTGACGTCATGGGTTTATGGCGAGAATATACACTATTTCAAACCTGTTTTGAACCAGTTTCAAAAAAGTGAACGCGGATTTGGAAATGTCCCCACACTGTTTTACAGTTATTTTAGATAATCTTTTCGCCCCAATAAATTGAATAAAATGTAAAATGAGCTGCAAAAAAATGTAATTTAATTGTTTGTTATTCTTATTTCAAGAAAAACGTCACTTTTGAAACCAAAGTGAAGCTAGGTACAAATACTTTCTTCCATTCCTAGCAGCCAGCTTAATATTTTCTGTTATCGATTTCGTCAATCATACCGATATAACATCCACTGGTATTTTATATGTTATCTATTCCCTGTTAGCATAACATAACAGGTTTATGTTAATTTTAACGTAAACGTTCAATCATAGGACCCATTGGTTGCTATTGTAAAACTAATGTCAACCTGCAGAAACACCTCATTTTGCGACCAAACAGGGTCAAGCGTTATTGTTTATATTTCAAAGTTTTCAATGTCAAAATCTATCTTGGGAAAAAATAAAGTTTTTTTTTTTGTAAGTATCACAAGAACGAATATATAAGTATAATTACTCTATATTCAATCTATTTTTCTGTCAGATCTTCTCTTTTAAGAACATTAATCAATTTTTCTCTTCTTTCTTGAGCGAATAAATCAAACCTCCCATTGTTATTTAAAATTGATGGAAACCTATGGAAGGATATTGTATCCCTTACGCTATACTGTCACAAATAACAACTAAACAAACTCTAGGCATGTCCAAGAAACTTCTGGAGCACACAAAAGGTATTTATTTAAAAAAAAAAAAATCTAACTAAAAACTTAAAAAAACACTGTAAATTATATCTTTGTTTTACGTTCATTGGTTTTACCTCAAGGCGACTGTCAATAGTGTAAAATGGTCAGATCGTGGACTTGCCCTATGCTAGAAGTATTCCAGTTAATTTGATGGTTATTGTCAAAAGCATGTTGGCGTATGTTTTATTTGTTAAAGTCCCCGTTTTTATGTAGTTCAGTATCAGATTATATTCATAAAATAAAATACTCCAATCAAGTTTTATTTTATTTTAATAAAATAATACTTGATTAGGTTCGGAGGTATAGCCTAGTTCTCATGCAGCGGAAATTAAATTTCTATATACGGATGGAAATGTAAATTTCTTGGGCGAAAGATTCACAATTTTCTTCGCTTTCTTATGTGAATTTGATCAAGTAGCCTCTCAACGTTCAAATTTTCCATAATTTTATTCTAACTGGTAACACTGACGTTCACGAAAATCAAAAAACCGTAGTAAAACCGCTCGGCGTGTGTTTCCTTCCATAAGCGAAGAGGGAATGATGCGCCGAGCGTGTGCCGACTATAGAGTCGTGAAACCGTGCTCGGCACATAATAGCTTTGTTCGCGGGTCCGATTCCGAATCGGTTCAGGGACTATTCGCATGCGCAGTGTAAAAAGTGGCGTTCGCGGATAATAAAATTCTGAATTTTTAGTAACAGTTCTACGTTCGCGGATCACATAGAATTGGTTTTAATTGATTCGGAATCGGTTCTAGCAGTCCCAGGATTTTTGTTAGGACTAAAAGTTCGGTTCGGCAGATCATGCGCAATTTCGTCAGACTTGTCAGTTGACTGGTGTTTATTTTTGTTTGGGTTATTGAAATTTGGGTTTTTTAATTGTTTATACGCTGAAGCGATAAACTATACGCTAGTTTTTTCCTACGGTTTATAGTTTACTGAATTTGCAGTACAGTATTATGTAAGTTACTTATCTCTATTTAATCTAATATATTTATTAATATGCACAATTTTAGTGATTTTTTTTCATCTAAGTACCTACTAGTCGGACCATTTGTCATCTAACGATTAGGACAAGGCAGAATTAGAGCTTGATTAAGTTCTTAAAAGCAATGTAATTAAAGTGATGCCATATTTCAGGGATGAACAATGTATAGATCATTTTTGAATTTTGAATAAATATAAATATTATATCTGTTCTGTTATTCTTTTTGATTTATGGAAATCGAATAGCTAATAAGGTTCACAAATCACATAATGTTAAAAGTATTCAGTTTTCGGTTCCAAAATCGTTCGCGGTAAAAAAAATCCTGAACCGATTCTCAACTAGGCATGCGCTCTACGACAATCCCGAATTAGTTCTGAACCAATTCGGAATCGGACCCGCGAACAAAGCTAATATCCAAGAATATCTTCTTTTTGGTTACTCTTTTTCTTCCATATTCCATATTGGCAATCAAACTCATCAGTCATCACAAAAAGATCCTCGCCCGATGAAGAACTACTCGTGTCTATTCACAGGTTAGTACTGAAGTAATAATCAAATACAAAATACATTTCTTCGCTTCGCTTCGCTTCGATCGAGGTCGCGTTAGACTGTTTTTACACGAGACGGAAGCGGCACATTTTAGCGCGAGCGGATTGCCGTCGCGATATCGCGTACTCTAGCATTCAGGAAATGAAATGCTTTTACACACACGCGGCGCGGTAAAAATATCGAGCCGGCATGCGATACACCGCGTTGACGCGCGATTGGCGGTCAAAAATCATCCGATAAAAAAACGACTCAGATAATGTACGCTCATTGGCTGATATGGGTTCTTTTACACACGCCGCGTCCGAGGAACGATTAATTCATTCAGCAGTTGCCAGATTGGGTAGATTATTTGCAGTGCAGTCTGTGCAATAATTAAAATGTCCAAGAAAAGGATCTGTAATTTTGAACCAAATGATTTAATTGATGCTGTAGAGATGCGTCCATGTATTTGGGATAAAAGGATTGACGAGTATAAAGACAAAACAACCAGGGACAAACCATGGATTGAAATATGTTGTATTCTGGAGCCAAGTTTTAATGAAATGGAACATGGGGAGAAAAAAAAGTTTGGTAAGTTAATATAATATTAGTTTATTTCTATTTAAGCATTATTAGTTGAAACATTATATTCTTCTTGTTTGCCAAGGCAATGATCCAGAAGGACTTGCAAAGTAAGAACCAAAGGCTTCTCTTATGTCATTGGCGTGGCGTCCTCCACGATGAATAGGTGCTGTTGGTAGATTCTGAAAACCTCTAGCTACATAGAAATCCTCCGAATGGTAGCCATCTCTTGCTCTCACTATATTATGAAGTATCACGCAAGCCTTCACTATGTCCATAGCCAATTGTTTTGAGGTATTTATTGGTCGATGAAAAATTCTCCATTTATTACTTAAAATGCCGAAAGCACATTCAACGTATCGACGTGCTCGACAATGACGGTAATTGAACATTTTTTTTTTGAATATCCAAGTCGTTTCGTCTTCCATATGGTCGTAACAAATGTGTTGTCAGCAGAAAGGCCTCGTCGCCAAGAAACACATACGGCAAAGGGGGTGAACTATTTTCAGTAAGTGGAGTAGGTATAGGAATATCAAGCGCATTTTCTTGAAGTCTCTTCCAAAACGGTGTTTCCTGTAATATTGAAGAGTCGCAGTCTTTTCCATATGCTCCAATATCGACAAAAACAAAACGATAATCTGCATCGACTATTGCCAGATGAACAATTGAGAAATAATGTTTATAATTCAAATACAGAGACCCACTTTTCGCAAATTTCTGCACCCGTACGTGTTTGCCGTCAACGGCTCCTAGACAGTGGGGAAAATGTGCCCTTTCTTCAAATTCCTTTGAAATATGTAACCATTTCTCTTTAGTGGGCTTCGGAATATATTCTTTTTGAAAAACAAGCCATATATTTTTGCACGTTTCCCTAACAATATTTGCTATGGTAGCGATTCCAAGACGATATGCATATGAGAGATCAGTAAAAGTATTTCCACTTGCCAAGTATCTGAAAGAAAGATACCAAGATATGTGCAAAAAAAAGGCGCAAGGCACGTATAGCCGCGCATACAATCTTTACTATAATTTTTTTTGTTGGACATTTTTTTAGGACCCAAATAACTCATTTTGAGTGAAATTAAAAAAACTTATACAATAGCCTCCCATTTTAAAACATATTCTTTTTACTCATATTTCAGAAGATGCTGTGGTGGAAAAATGGAAAAATATTAGAGATGCCTTCAGTAAATCACTAAAGAAGAAAACCGGCGATAAATATAAGAAAAAGTATTTGTACCATGAACAGCTCTTATTCCTGCTCGCGATATTGGAAAAAGCCGAAACTGAAGAAAGTTTCCATAGCAACGCTGAGAAAGGGTCCGAAACTGGCGAAAATAGTCCACAAATGGATAGTGACAAAGGGGACGACAATATTCAAATACGTACATAAACAAAGAACTTCCAAGAAAAGAAAGAGGATGGACGACGAGGATAAAGCAATAATAAAAGCATTGGAGAACACCCAAACTTCTTCTCAAAGGGAACTTGATGAAGATGAATCATTCTTTTCCTCCATTCTTCCATCAGTACGGAGATTAAGTCCTGACGACAAATTGCAGTTACGGGTGAAAGTGATGTAGTTACTTCAAAGAAAATTGAACGCTGTTCACCAACGTCCCGTATCAGCCTCCTCATATTTTTCTCATTTTTCTCCTTCAGGGCCAGAAATCGTAAGTGTCAATCCTGCACCTTCGTCATCGTGTGGATACTCTTCCCTACCTCAACCTCGAAACTACCCTACATCTTCACTTCATTCATCCACTCATACGCCTCTCCAATCTCCTAACCCTGATGAGGGCGATTTTTCACAGTGCCAATATCAACAATATTAGTAAATAAGAAAATATGTACTAAATAAGATAGCCTTTCTTAATATTTCAAGTTAGATCATAGGTACATTTCGAATTATTCCATTTGATTTCAATAAAAAAAATTCTTACCGAAGTGTCAACGCCAGTCTTTCTTTTGGTGGTATGGATTCCCTCATTATAGTGTTTTGATGTTGGATAGTAGCTTCTAATTGACCAAGAAGATAATGAAACGTTATTGTGCTCATTCGAAAGTAGTTGAAAAATTTCATTTCATCCGATTGCAACTTATCGAACAGTGTATAGGAAGCCCCTTCCACATATCTAACTTGTAGGATGGGGTGGACCCAATATTTTCGTTCCTTTGTCTTCTTCTGTGACTTTTTTCTCTTTAACTAAAGTAATGATAAAAGAAGTACACGCCTTCTCTCCATTATAATTAGATCGCGAGACTTGACTGGCTATAATGCTCGCTCAATGATAAAACTCTGACAACTGTGAAAATTGATCCACTGTTCATATTTATCATTTGCGGCGGAAAACCGCACAGTGTAAAAGCTTGAGGGCGATATCGCGACGGCAATCCGCTCGCGGTAAAACGTTCCGCTTCCATCTCGTGTAAAAACAGTCGTGTGCGGACTTGCGGACATAGCCATTTCAACTCTTTCCTTCACCATGCTTCGCTTCGCGACGCTTCGCCTCAGTGGGCGAACACCTAAGCTGAGGTTTATTTTTATTTACGCGTCTTTTCATACAACCAATTTTTTTTTGATAAATGTATTGAATGACTTTCTCTGGTTTTGAGAACCGACGAATGTTTTTGACGTCATTAAATTGTTCCAGTTAATTTCTATTTGTTAAAAAAAGGTAGGCAAATGATGACTTAAGTACAAACCTTCGTGAAACAAACTTTATGTACTTTTTGAGATATCCGGTGAAACCCGAATTTCAGAATTATCGAAAATTTGACGTATTATTTTAAAATAAATGTCTCTTAATCATTGCTACGTGTCTCCTCTTTGTTGTACTATCTATATATATAAAACACAGTTGTGTTGGTATTTGAGCACTTATAACTCGAGAACGGCTGGACTGATTTTTATGATTTTTGCTTTATTGGATTTGTCTTTGTCCATCCTAGGATAATAAATCGAAAAAATCCAAAACAAAAACAAAAGAAAAATATCTATTTTATTTATTTATGAAAAAAGCTCACTAAGCCCGCATACGGCGCCATCTCTTATAACCGATACCAAGTTTACCGTCACATTTTCATTGCAAACCATGTGGATTTTATTGTCACACACTTTGCACAAAAACAATTTGAGGAAAGCACTTTATTTTTAATTGTTCTTCACAGTAAAAATGTCCAAAAATAAATAGAATGACAATGTTTTAATTGTGTATTTTATTTTGTTGTTGGTTCGTTCATTTCGAAAGAGCGCGAACTGGTCTCCCTGTCATTTCTTGACGCTTGACCATTGACGTTCTGTGGCTAAGTTCCGTTTCTCCTCTTAGGCATCCCTTGACAGCCGTGTTCCGTGCCGACTATTCGGAGTGCTCCGTCCGGCTGGTGTCGAGTGGCAGAGAGCCAGGTTATGAGTCCGCCACAACCATTTTGTATACGGCGCCATATATGATAGGTATCTAGAACGAAGCTCGCCGTTGCGCGGTAATTTCATTGCAGATACAGTAGAACAGAACACTGCTAAGGAACAGAACTATTCCACTATTCCGATCAGATAAAGTGGTGCAGAAAGAGTAGATTAGATAGAATAGTGCAGATACAGTAGAACAGATGGAGTATTGCAGTGCATGCAGTGCAGATAAAATGAAACAGGGCTGCGCTGGAGATTTTTTTTGTTTTCTTTACATTTTTTGAACATTCCTGTGCCTGAATTTATTTATTTGGTCGTACACTTTATAAGAATAATGCCCACAAGATGCCTAAAAAGGGATGATGTAAAATTTTAATTTTAGGTGACTTCTGATCCAGAGAGTAAAAATTAATTTTCTTCGACCAAAGCCAAATTCACCATCGAAAAAAACTGAATTTAATTCAGTTAATAGATACGTTAACACAACATTTAATAGGTATTTAATAATTCAGAGGTAGTACGAAGTTCGCCGGGTCAGCTAGTTTTCAATACAACTTTCCAGATTTCCTGGCCACCTTTAAAATAAATCAAGTTGAAAATTACCTTGGAACAAAAAGGCATTTTTTTCTGAGTATTGAATTTTTTATAATATACATCTATTTTCTATTGATCAACGTGAGTGATTACTCATACAGTAAGTCTTTTTCATTACTTGATTGTTTTTACCCAATGAAAATATCCTAATTTCATTTTTTGATTTGGACAAGACTTGTGCTAAACTAAGCTCACTTTGTCCTCCAGCTGTCAGAATGTCAATTAATTTCGTTACAAAAATTAAATAAAAAACCGTGTAACTCGTGTCTATTATCTACTAATCATAGAAAAAGTATAATATTCTACTCGTGGGTAATGGCTATTACTCACTTTATCCTTCGTGAGTAATAGCCATCATTACTCACTGGTTGAATAATATACTATTTTTCTATTAGATACCTATCATTAACGTAATTATTTAGACGATATGGCATTATCATTTTCTTCTTCAGAATACCAATAATGCATACTATGGCTGGAATATACGAAGAATCATACCTACATAAATAAAAAAATCTAAAAAATGTTTTCCAATATGTTTTCTATTACCCACGCTTTTTAATTAATCAATAGTGAAAGTGCGATTATAATAATTATCGGATAATAGAAATAAATTTTCATATATGTATAATACCACCAGAGAAAAAATTTTGTTGGCAAAATTTTCGACTGGTATGAAAGTTTGTTGCTTGGCAATTTCGCGAATGACATTTTTGACAAAACCGCGAGCCGTCAGACGAGTGGTTTTGTCAAAAATTCCATGAGCGAAATTGCCAAAAAGCAACAAACTTGAATAAAACCAAGAGAATAATTTTGCCTATATAATTTTTTCTTGAGTGGTATTCGGCTGGACATGAGAAAATAAGCTAAATTTTCATTTGGAATTTTTTTTTTTTTTTTTAGGTGACACTTGTCAAACTCAATTAGCCTATCCAAAACACGTGACTTTGACAAGCAAACAAAAGGTTTGTGTGCCTCTTGGCGGACATTTTAATTGAGGATTGACAGCATCAGTGGCGGCTCGTGACTATTTAAATTGAGGAGGCTAATTACAATATAGAATTTCATGAAATTCCTCGGAATTCGATTTAGATTTCAATTTCAAAATTCCATATTTTTTTTTTTTTAACTTCACTAAAATTCCTCAAAATTTTACCACTGAAATATCCTGGAATTCCACAAAATTTTCATAAAATTCTTTGGAATTTCATGTAATTTCTTAAAAATTTCTCGGAATTCACTAAAATTTTATGAGAATATCCACGTTCATAACCGAAAATTTCTCGAAAGTCCAATGAAACTTCATGGAATTTTCAAAATGTAATTTATTTTCATAAGAATTTCACTGAAATTCTCTTTTAATAGCCAGGAATTTCTGGGAATATTAATGAGGTTTCAAGTAATTTCTTAAAAATTCATCGAAATATATTGAAATTTCATGTTATTACGTGGAATTTTTCGGAATATCATCGAAATTCCATGTTTTTAGTTGGAAATTCCTCGGCATTACTAAAAATCAGTAAAAACTGAAATTTCATGTTGGGAATTTCATGTAATTGTTTAAAATTCCTCCATGTAATTCATTTAGGATTTCGTGTAATTTGATCGGAATTTCACTGAAATTTCAAGTAATTTGAGAGGAATTAAAATTTAATGTGAATTCTATGAAAACTCCGCAAAAATTTCACATCTAATTCCTTTTTCAGAATAACATAATTATTCTACCGAAATTCCACTAAATTATGGAATTCTGAGATTTTAATAGATTTTTGGGGATTCCAAAGGATATTTGGGAATTTTAAAGGAAATATTTTTCAGAAATCTCAATGATTGGGTTTAAAATAACCTATAAATCGAGATTTGATAAAAACATATGACAACGCTGCTCATTATACAACAAACGTCAAAAAAATTAAATATCAAAGTAGGCCTTGGTTTTTTTTGACAATCGATATAAAATGGCGTCTTTTTGTTTCAAAGATGAGGATCCGAAAAGCCGAAGTATTAAAATCAGTTGACAATGAACGGGTTCGTATAATTCCGGCCCTTCGGACTCGTATAACCTCGGCCCTTTGAGCTCATAATTGAGATAACTTCAGCCTTCCAGAATCGAAATTCGAAAAAAAAAAACATATGGCAACACTGCTTATAATACAACAAACGTCAAAAAATTGGCCCCGTTTGGCTACTTTTTACGTATTCGCCGAGACTAAATCTATATGCCCATGTAGGTTTTTTTTTTTTTTAATTTTGATCGTCAATGTCAAAAATTTTTACCTTTTCTTTTTTTCAAAACACAAATGTCAGAAAACGATCCCCAGGCTCCGAAAACCCTAAAATAAGAAGTTTCATCGATATACATATGTCAAAAACCAACCGCCTGGCAACGC